ACAGGGATGACAAAAACAGTCTCTCCAAAATTTGGTCCCTCACCGGTTCCCAGACCTGCAGAACGGATATCACTACTCATATCCGCGGCTGTGGTTCACCCCGATTCGATCTCGGCGTGCAACAGACAACAGGAAAAAGGAACAACAATCGTCACAGCCAAATAATCTCAGCCAAATTCTTCCTCAATCAGGACGGGGAGCCCCGCAGCCCAGACATTATGGAGATCCATCCACGATCCACCTCCCACTCTCCTATCCCACCCCGCTCGCTCGCTCTACGGAGTACTCGCCGCCCTCCCCTCATGCCGCACGACGTTTACGAACACTTTATCGGCGGATGAGGCACCTTGCCATGGCCTGGCACTTGCTTATGGTTCTCTGTTCTATGCATGCGGTATACTCCGTACGGATTCCCATGTTTCGAAGAAGCCTCACAGCCTCAGCCTCACTTCCCAGCTTCTTCCCTGGTTCTCTCTCTTCCCTACCAAATTCCTGGATGTATGCTAGTCCTTTACCTGATAGCGCGTCCGTGATGTGACGTCTTGCTCAAACCCGTATACGAACAGAAATCTCAGCTAGAATAGCCCCTGATCATCGCCGGACGTAATGCATCTCGATAATTAGATGCCGCCAGATTTCCTCACGAACACAATCTCCCAAGACCCTTGCCAGCTAAGTAGAACAGCGTCAAGACGTAGTTTGTCCCTGTTTTACTACAGCTGGTTAAAGCCACACGCCTCTAGTAACGCCACATTTCACGGAGCTTGGCTCCGGTGCAAGATTGAAGAGAGACCCTAGCCACTAGTCCTGTATTGACGTGCGAATACTGTGTAGTCATTGCGGGTAGAAAAGCCGGTAGAGTGAACAGAGCGAGACATGCTTGGTGGTGAACCTATCTTGGGCGCAAATTTCCATCATGACAAATATCGCCCCACCCTGGTCCCTCCAGTCTTTAATCTTTAGACCCGTCGCGCGGCGTGCCTGTGTGTTGACTCTCGAGTCAAACAGTCAGTGCCAAGAGTGCCCCTTCCGGGTGAGCTAAAACCACCTACTGCCGCCTGCACATTCGCAGTACGTACCTTGTCTGTAGGGCAAAATGACAGAACGTCGATGGTCAGTGCCCCAACACCGACGACAGCATCACATCTCATTTTGACACTGCCATCGACGCAACACTCTCTCACACGTACACAGCCAGCCACATCGTCAATGCAGGTCCATACTGCGAAGACCACCATCAGTCCACTCTCCTGCCGCCGCCTACCTACTTGCATTCAAGCTGAACCTCGTGCTATCGAAAAACATGGCAAACTATCACCTTGAGCTGAAGATGAGATAGAGAGACAGAGGTAGGTAGGGAGTGAAGAAAGGAGAAAAGTGGCTGCATAACGACGCAATTACAGTGAAACTACACGATGCCACCAGACGATGGTACGCGTCGGCCGCAGCTCGTGTCTAGGCCATTAGTGCGCCAACACCTCACAAGCGTCGCACTCTTTACTTCGCGGTATCGTTCGTCGCCAAAGACGCTAGAGGACTTTTAGCATGACTTCATGCCGTGTGCACAGATATAACAAAATACCATTGGTACCTCACCCCTCTCAACATTGCGGTACAAAGTCCTAGTCACGTCTCCTTGTTATGCGACGAGACAGAATTGAAGTAAACTGAACTATGCGTCTGAAGGGAACGGGGCAAAATATCAGGGAGCCGATTCAAGCTACCATTTGGTCCGATTCATAATAGTGGCGCTCGGTCAGCCGCACAATACATGACAGCATTTGTTTGACTTTTGTCTGGTTTATCAGATTTTCTAACATTTGTCATCTTTGGGTTTTTATTTTATTTTTTTACTTTCCAACGTCGGGAGGCGAAGATGTTTTTTTATGGGTTACAGGTCCAACGAACCGTTGGGGCTTGAGCTATCCAACAGACGCGTGTCTTACCTTTTCACATGGACTTCAACTGCATTGACATTCAGGGTTTGTACGACCCGGGTTCCGATGGCACAGACTGGAAAACAGACGACATCGAATGTTGAGGATGATGAGGACGAGGATAACCTCCTTCAGAAGAGGGATCTTGGACTCACAAAATGGGTTACAGAGATCCGATGCCATACACGGCAACACGCAATAGACGTCTAGGTTACGTCAACCAAAATAGGTAGGTAGACAATGCCATTGTTCTCGGTGCGGTGACTCGCGGCTTGGCAACTTGAATCAGCTAACTAACTACCTTGTGTAGCAAATCCGTCCATGTTCACGGCCGCCCTTAACGCCTCCATTAGCACCCATCAGTCCACAGGGTCCTCTAGCCGCAGACTATCAGCAGCCGTTCCACGCGGCCGTCACAACGCTTCTGAAACCTTTTCTGCTGGAAAATATTCCTCTTGTATCGGACCCTGAGGTGCCACGGTGCCGCGGGAGAACGTTATACTTCACCCGCCGCGCGAGGTTCTTGTCTTCACTTGGCCCGCTCGCATATTCAGAGGACGCAAACGGTGTCCCTCTGATTGTGCCATACACGGCGGCTGTATGGCAGCCAATGCGCGAGAAGCAAAGAAGAATGGCTTGAAGTCTACAACAGTTATGACTCCCTGCTTCAGATTTTTGGGTTGGACAGAGAACGCTTTCCACGGCGACCATGCCATCCTGGTTCGCGTCGTGATGTCTCTGCTCTCTTCTTCCCTGGTCCTCATTAAGTGATGATGATGCGGCTGATCATGATGAAGATCTCGGGATGTAGTTGCAATCCGTGGTTGACATCAGCTCTCGCTATGAACAAGCATCATTTCCCAAGACACCATTCAGTCATCAAAGACGATAGCTCTGTGGAGTCACTTCAACAGTCAAGTCGAGGCGGGGAAAGGAGTGGAAGCTTTTCTCCCTCTCCCCTAGTCGTTCATCCGATACCCTTCTTCCCAGATGTCAGAAGCTTTCCGCACATGACAATGTTGAAGAGGACCTTCACAGTGATGTCTCAGCCAGACGCTATTCGAGGCCACTCTGGCGATGTGTTCAAGAGTCTCGTTGCGCGAATAAATTGGCGATTCACGACCCCTGGACGCGGTCATCCCCGGGCCCGTCAAGCCGCTGCGCAATACAATATGCACCTAGAAGGATGCGGACGCCGGAGGCTTGGAACCGCAACGGTCGAGTCGTCGAATGACACGACACTATTGCCATCATAGTCCTACCCGTACTTCAAAGTAGTCATGGCTCAAAGTCAGATTCGTGGGGAGGGGGGGACTGTGGACGGCCTAGGATTGGACTAGGATTGTACTAGGAAAACCCAACAGAATGACCCAGGAATCTGGTAACGAAACGCCTTCGCTAATCAACCGCCGGCGTTCAAGGTTACAAGACCGTTTTCGTTTTCCCTTCTTGCCTTCATCCGTCACACACCCTCTTTATTACCCTCCCCGCGTCCGGCCGTATCCGTGTCCGACCATCTCCGTGGTGCGCGCAGAATGGCTTCAGCTTGGAAAGGCGGGCCTCCGGAGCAAGTGACCGCATCGGTGCAAGTTTGTTTGCAGCATCTCCCTCGCTCTCTCTCTCTCTCTGCCACTCGGTCTTCCGCTAATAGAATTGCATTCCTCCTCCGTCCGGCCCCCAACAAACGGGGCCTAGACGCCGGTCCCCCCCTCCAAAGTCTAGAAGTCTAGACTCTTTGGGATTTTTTTCTATACATAATGTTGAGCCTGACCTGGCAAAGCCTGGGCACTAGCGGGAGCTTTTTTGGTAGTAGCGTTCCGCTGGCTTTTCTCCGTCCGCCGAGGGGGGCGTGAAGAAGCCCCCGCTCTCCCGACTGTTTATGGCTTCGTTGGGTTCTGACGCCTTTCACTAGTCTGTTGCTTGGTAGTGGCTTTTCTTCCCATACCCAATTCTGTGTCACTGGCCGTGCCGGACATTGCTACTGATCTGGGTTGGCGAGAAGTTTGTCTCGATGCCTACTCATCTACCCAGTGTTTTCATCACTTCCAACTCTGATATATTTGGAATCGACACTATCGATCACAAGACTTCAAGTATTGTATCGTGTGACTACCAGGCTGTTAGTCGTTATTCTGGTCACATATGAAATCTGATCAAGTGTGTTCAGGGCGGAGGATGTTGTGAATATATGATATATGGTAAGTGACACAAGATACCACCTCTTACTCGAGCCGTGAGCTTGTACACATCCATCCGCGTTCGGCCCGTTGCACACGGCCCGCAGTCGTATCCTCTTTCTTCCACGGCCTCGCCTGATGATCTGTTCCAGGGGTTGGTTTAATTCTCCCCTTTCGCTTCGCGAGCTTCTCTCCGGAACCCTGGTGGTTGTTCAGGCCAGGGTCATGGGCCTCTCGGAGGACAGGAGAAAAGGAAAAAAGTAGTCTCCGGCGGGGGGCCCAGGAGCTCACGTGGCATATCCATTTTCCCTTTTCCCAAGCCAAGTTTGGAGCTTTTGCGGAACTTAGTCTCCTATTTTGGCATGGTACATACATACGCCAGCTCACCGACAGAAAAGGCTTCATGCAAGCGCGAGTAAGGATCGAGGAGTCCGATGATGGGGGGCGTAAGCTCACCAAGCATCCGATGGAACACGTCATGTCCACACGATGGCTCGATCTGGACTGTATTTTATGGGCTTTGGACGCGGTTGACACACATGGAGTGACGATGTTCCAGCCAGGCGAAGCAAGGAGGGAGGAAAGGAGAGAGAGATATGTTGACATGACCCTGAAACCGCAGCAAGCGTAGTCTACCGTAACTCCTGGAGCAAGTACATTCTGCTAGAAACCCCGCTCCTTCGGAGCAAAATACCGCAACCATCACAACCACGCGATACCTGCTTCTAGCCTCTGGACCAACCTGGGACCGGCCTTGATCCTGTCCCTCGTTGCCCAACCGCTTCAAAGCCTCCCTTGCTGCCATGTGTGCTTGGTTTGCGTGTGTGGTACTTCCGTCCGTTAGGATAGCCATGCTGCGCCCTCAGGCTTCATCGCTAAAGGCTCTCTAGCCGTTGCCTAAGGACTCGCACGACGATTTGTGTGAGCGGGAGCTTCGCCGTCTATCCAGGAGACTAGGTCTCGTGGCCTGTCTGCCACCTTCTGCGCCGATTTGCTCAACCCCAGAGCGTGTTTCGAGGGTATTGCCTTCGTCTTTGTCCAGCGACTCCTGTGCATGACTGTGAAGTGTTTGGTCCTGCTGGTTGGAAGGTCCTGCAGTAAATGATGCCATTGGAGCTACTTCATCTGACGAACGGGGGCGCTGAGGAGGGAAAGCCGCTGGCCGGCCCACGGAAACATCGTTTCCGTAAGGAATACCAGCTTTTCCAGACAGGGCCTGCAGCTGAACGCTATCTTCTCCGGCGTCGAAGGAGAAGTCTCTCATATGGCGGCGGGTCCCTGAGGTTCTTCGGCCAGTCGTAGCCGTCATGACATCCGGGTCGGTACCTGGCGGCCGCTCCTGCTTCGGCATGCCCGTTGCGGCCGATCCGTTTTCGGCCAATTCTACGCCGGTATGTGGTGCGTCGTCAGGCCGGTAATGTGTATCGGCATGCTCACAGGTTCCAGGAACGGCGGTTTCCTTTGCGGACGATTCTGGAGTGGCGATCTGCGCGGATGGTGCCGCTCGTCGTAATGGTTGAGGCTTCATAGACTCCAAGCCAGGTAACCTGGTTGTCTTCTGAATCGATGTTGATTTGTTTGCTTCTTCTTCCGATGAGCTATCCCATGCTATGTTGAACGACGGAAAGAGGGCCTCCTTCTTCATTCGTCTCGAGGCCCGCTGTTGTCGTCGTTCGGCCTTTCTCAGACCCTTGCTCAGTTCAACATCGGCATTGTCATCTACTTTAGGTTTCATGGACACTGGTCTGTTAGTATGTACACGGTACAAATGAGAAGGCAGGCGTTTCTAGGTACTTACAGAAGGTTCGATGGTTCAGGAGGGGACTCCCAGAGCCCATAGAGATCCGTGGGTTATCTAGGCTGTCAACTTTGCTGGTGCTGTCATCACCTACGCGCATCCGGTCAGCAGACGGGATAGGAGTGCTTCCCACTATTGAAGGAATAAGTACCTTTCTGGGGACTTTCTTTAGCCTTCTCGACCCTGGCCTTGAAAAGTCTCGAGGATTTTGCGCTTCTGTCGACGAGACTGCCAGACCTCGCCAGAACCACTGCACCAACACCTGCAGGAGTTACATCGACAAGAACTAGTTCCATACGTTTGATCTCAGCGCGGAAGTCGGCCTCTTTTGACTCCCATTCCTCAGACATCTTGGTGAACTCTTCAAGACTCTTCAACTTTGTCTCCTTCTCCTCTGCGAGCTCCTGCTCTGTCTTCCTCAGCCGCTCCTGGAGATCCCAGTAACCCTCTAATAAGTGCAAGATGTAGGAGTTGTACTCTCTGGGAACCGGATCGAGGACATTCTTGGTCATCATCGTGTAGTGTAACGCATTAATCATCTGCTCCAGTGAGAGAGCACGTTCCGTCTCGTCTCGCTCTTGGTACCAGGCTGTATCGGCTGGCTCAGTTGGCTCTGCCGGGGATGGCGACAGCCGATGACAGGATGACTGCGAGCCGTCTGATTTAATGCTTGGGCTGTTGCTTGTGCCCAATCTAGCAGCACTTAGAACATCGAGACTCGCAATGCGGGGAATGGGCTTCCACTGGCGCGATCGAACAGAGGGAACGCCGAGGTGCGCAACAGATTCTTCTTCATCCGGAGGTGGATTGCTCAGCGTGAGCTCTGATCTTCTTCGTCGGGGAGGCAACGGTTTTGTCCATAAGAAGTCCGCCATGTTGGCTGGCTGATGGCAGATATCCGTTGGCAACTGGATTGTGCTAGTGAAGAGTGTGTCAACCAAACCGGCATCGAGTACTTTGGTATAAGATTAACGAACGTGGTGAAGTCTTGTGAGTCTTCCAGTGGTGAATTTTGAGATCGATCGTAAGAGACGTAGAAAAGGTGATGTTTTTCAACGGCCTTTTGACGCGTACCTCGACTGTTAGTGACGGCCCAAATTTGACTTATTCGGAAGGCGAATGGCACATTGATATGAAAGAGCAGGAGAGAGGTCGGATTCTGTGCGGGAATCACCGTGGGTGATTGATTGAGGTAAAGGGCGAGTGGGACATGAAGGTGAAGCTTGAATGAGATATCGCCATGTACGCGGATAGGAGGAAGAAACGAGCAAGGGCAGGCGAGGGATCGAAGTCAGGCGCGTTCGACCGATTGGAAGTGGCGAGTACATCAGACTAGGCGTGCCTTCCTCAGCTGCTACATGATACGGGTACTTCGAGCAAGACCAGCAGCTGCTTCCGCCCCGGTATTCTGTTCTCCGGGATGAATGCACAAGAGTGGCTGTCCAACGAGACCTCAGTGGCCTGGAAGTTTACCGACACAGCTCTTGCCTCCCTACCCAGCCGTAAGAGTATTCTAGTTGGATGGTTATCCCAGAATCCTTTCAACTCCCTCTGGAAACTACGAAGAATGTGACGAAGGACGATATACGCGGCTATAGAGCAATCATTCAACACACAATGCCCAGCCTGGACACATCGGTTGCTATAAAGAAGTTCGCCGTCTATCGCGCTAGCCATGGCGAAAGTTCAGGTTTCTATGGCATTGAAATGAACAGCGTGCGCTGTCGGCTGTGTTCCCAAACTCGTCGTAAAGATAGTCTCCTTCATCTTGCAAACTACCAAAGATGATTGCATACGCGCTCCAGGTATCGACGCGCTAAGAAAACAGGTCCTCTGCTTTCTGCCGCCGACGGCCACGGCCCTCTAACTTGTCAGCGAATAGCTCTTTTCCCGTATTGCCACCACCTCCAAAGCGGCTCGGGAACAGCTCCTTGACGTTCGCGGCCGCCGCGCCCTTGATGGAGAATCCAGCACTTGAACCTGCATTATCGACTCTGTCCCGATCGAATAGGTCCTTCCTGCCGTGGCGGTCGTTGCTCACGCTCATCTTTTGCTGCATGATTCGCGTGGCTTCGTCCGCGCCGTCCATGACCCTGTCCATATGCGTCTTGCCCATCGATGAGCCCTTTATGGGAAACAGTTCCTTGGATTTGTTGTCTTCAGCTAGACGATCCCTGATGCCCGATGCCCTTTCTCTATTGTTTCGGTTGCTGGCCCTCGGCGCGCGTGCTGCCTCAACGTCCATGGCTGCGTCACCATCCAGATCCCGCATGGGTGAAGCGGAACGATTTCGTTGCCGGTTTCCTGCTCGTGATGACCGCCCAGGGAACAGCTCCTTTTCCTGATTGCGAGACGCATAGGATCGCTCGTCACGCGGCGTCGAATCTCTTGAGCGAGATCTCGAGTGACGTGCGGGTCTTCGGTCTGCCAGTGTGTCCTCATCGTCATCATACATGCTCGCATGGAACACCTCAGGGCTCGAGTCTCGGTCGCGTTGATTTCTTCCACGGCCATTACGGTGACGATCATCTCCGTCCCGATTGCGATATCTGTTTCTGTTTCCCTCACGTCGTCTTCTCTCCTCCGGGTCAAATTCGGGGTGGAGAAGGTAGAACCGGCTTCGCTCAGCAGCACCTCGTATCTTCTTGTCGGAAATAACGGCAAATCGAATTTGAAGATTGACGTCTGGGTGGGATGCGACGGCCTTGGCTGGAATCGTCTCCTTAGGAGGCAACTGAGTTACGTCGGCAATTTCAATGGCGCTCAATGCTGCCAGAGCCTCTTGTGCCGTACTTTCCGACCCAAAAAGCAGGTTTGCGGATTCGTCATCGATCCACTCAACTCTCTCTGGAGTACCAAAATGACTCTTCACGTAGATTTTGATGTCGTCCGTGGTCAATGTGTCCAGACCTCGGATGTGTACCTTGTTACGTACTATGGTAGAATCTTCGAGGTCGCGTTCATTCGAGGGAGACGGCGCTGTGGCGGGTTGTGCGATGTTCTGTTGACGTTAAAGGTTAGCAAGCAAGCAAGTAGAAGTCGCACCACCAGGTGCGCTACGTACTGTGCCGTCGCCAATCGTCGCTGTCGGAGGTGCAAAGCCGTCGGCTACATCATCCATGTTAATATCGTAGTCCATGGCGCTTCCGTTCTGAACTTGATCTGCGACGGCGTGCGCTCGTATGGTGGAGGGGTGAGGATGAGGAAGCAGATCGCGCGAGATGCTGGACGCGCTCCCGCGAATTCAAGCTTGTTTGATTTGTAGTAATTGAGTACTCCGAAGGAAGGCTGAGCTGCGCGGCGACGTTCCCCGAATTTAAAAGGTGGCGGGTTTATAGAGGGAAGGGTTGGCCAAGATTGTAGAGAAAGAGAGAGAAACTACGTGATAAAAGGGCCATTGATCAACCCGACGTCTACTAGTCGGAGCTTACAGGCCGAAAGAGCTTCGGCCGCTTAGCGCCGTGGAGAATGAGGCTGACTGTGCTCAGCGGCACCATTTCCACTTTTGGTTTAGTGGATACGGAGAACCTACGCCAGGTGGGAGGCACTGTGTTCCGGCACCTGCCGGGTCTCACCGGCTCCGAGTCCTGTTCTCCCCGCTAATTTTACTTCCGTCTAGTCCAAAGGTCCTCCGATTCGGGCTCTACCGGCATGCCAACTTGATTTCACAGGCGGGAGCCATCGACGTGGAGAAACATAACAAGCCTGCCACGCCGAAAATTTGCAGTCCCATTACACCTCGAATTAGGCACAGCATTGTGACAGGTGACTTTTTGTTCAAAAGACCAAGACTACCTTATCCTACCTTAGACTATCACTAAACTATCTCAAGGACTTTTTGTCTCTTTCCGAAGCTCCAATTCCGCTGTACATGTGTAGGAAAGTGACCAAGACAGTGCTTCTTTGTGCCCTTGGGCGTGAATAAATGAAATGGGTATAAATGTCCTCTATCAGGTGGATCAACCTTCTATCGTCTCGAAAGACCTCATTCGTGAAACATTCGCCACTGCTGCTTCAGATCAACGGGTCCTGGACGCCAACCACGCGTCTAAAATGCAGTAAAAACAGATCCCACAGGCCAAAGCTAGACGGGGAAAATAACGGAAAAGGAAAGAGACCACGTGTCTCACACAGTCTCTACACGCCTCCGCGATTCAACTAGACTTGGCAGGCAAGAGGTCCGGGGTGTCTTGGTTCGAGAGCCGTCAGAATCGCTGCCTGTCGTGGCAGCTGTTAAGCCAGCTGTTCGCGACATCTCGGATGCTGCTCGTTTCAGGTTTGGAAGACTCGGGACAATGTCTCCGGCGGAGGGTCGATCATGCTCTTCCATGCGATCATCTTCAACTGGGTCGTTTGGATCTAAGAAGTGATCGTAAATCCAGCAATTCTCGAGACCCTCTATAAATATCGGAGAATTTCGTAGAAAGTGCCATGAAAACTTGTCCTGGCGCATGGCTATATATAGAGAATCGATCTTGCCGTTGGCCTCGCAGACGCCGCAAAATTTCTTGAGAAAGTTGAGATCATAGTCGCTGTCAACAAGTCTGGAGTCCAGTGGCCTGAGCATGGGAAGCCCTTGGAGCCTTTCTGCGTCGCAAAGCTTGGCCTGTAGAGGCATCCAGGATCTTCCTCTGAGTAGGCTACCGAAGGATTTTGTAACAGCCTCAACAAAAGAGTCACTATCTGGACCGCCAACTACTACAGTCCGGTGGAGCCCTCGGGACAAGCAGCGCTTGTAGGCGTTGGTGTCCCTTTCGAATGGGAAAGGCTGAGAGGCTGTCGGAAGAAGCGAAATATGAACTGTCCAAGCTCCACAGTTGCTTGAACTTGTGCTGGAATCGGCGGTGCTGAGGGTTGGTGAGGTACGGATGGTTTCTCCTGGAATGACCTCGGCCTCGGGCTGTGAATACAGAGTGACACCCAGCGACTGTTGCCGGTTGGAGGCCGTCACAGCGTCTGGCCGGGACAAGATTGCTTCCTCTGTCATGTTCGGGACCTGGCCACCTCGACTGGCCAAAGAATCATGGTCCGACTCTAGCTGATCCAGTCTCTCTTCGATGCTTTCGTCGGCGTCGAAAAGCTCCAATTGTCGATTGCTGACGCTCTCCAACTCCCCGTTGACACGTTCCATGTGTTCTGACTGGGAGCGTAGGGCTTCCCGAAGGTGGGAGGTTTGACGCTCAAGCTGCTCTACAGACTGCCATACTCTGTTGATGTTGCGATAAGAGCCCTTGATCTCCTGGCCTATCTCTTCACGACTTTTGTCGACAAGGTCTTCCAGTTCGCTCACTCTGGCAACGACGGTTCCAAGGCCGCCTTGTCTCTGCTGGTCAAGTTGTTCTTCGAGGGCTTGAAGTCGCTGCTTCAGAAGTTCGACCTCCTCTCTGGTCGATGACGGCTCTGGGGTCTTGACATGATAGCAGGCCATGTGCCCACAGTCGCAACTAGCGCCGGGCGTAGATCGATTGAGAGAAAAGTGAACACAAGCGCATCGTTGGCCTTTGATGCCAGGTACGAGCAATATGTAGCGGCACTGACCCTGGGGTAGAGATTTCTCATCGACACGGCCAGTTGGGCCTTGCAACGGCGAGGGAGATGAAGTCGTCGACATGAAGGGTGAGTTGGTGTTGATGTTCTTCGTGATGAGCTTTCTTCAAATGAGACCAGCGGCTGCTAAAACAGCATAGGTTGAGTAAAGTGTGACTACAGTCGATAGTGCTAGTCACCGTCGGGGCGATTGCCAGTGCTTCAGAGAGGGCGCGCAGGAGACACTGAATACGATGCAGCGAGGATGAATGGTTGAGCCATGGAATGGATGTCGAAGATTGACGGTTAAAGGTCAGTGGTGGTGGTCGGAAATGCAGAAGGCCAACCA